GCGTGCACCCTAGAACAAAAACCAACTAAATAAATACGGCATGCCCGCTATTCCCTACCAGTCACCCAAGCCGAACACCTGGACGTCCTCCCCTCAGAGAGCCCTCACAACTTGCTTTCTCACTTCCTCTTTCTCTCTCTGTCCCTCTCTGGTCAAATAAAAATAAATAAAGTTAAATAAAATAACCCATTTTTTTTTGAGAGATTTTTTTTTTTGCTATAGGGCACATGCGCTCACCAGAAAGACAGAGAGAGACAGAGAGACAGAAAGCGAGAAATCACCCCCCAGGGGGGATGGCCACGCCACAATCCCTTCTCCTCCATTCTCCTCTCGGGATCTTGGGCATGCACCCACACACGCCTTGTGTGAGTTTAAGCAACCAGGTCTGGACTTGAATCACGGTCGACTATAGGGAGTCCAGCGACATAGCCATTACACCAACTGCTGGTAATAATTCTTAAAAAAAGAAGAAAAAGTTTCAGCGTCTCCCCTCAGGAGAAAGTTTATCTTCCTCGGGGAACCTTGCAGGCCCCTTATGAGCTTTCCAGCCTTTTACACGCCTTGTGTGAGTTTAAGCAACCAGGTCTGGACTTGAATCACGGTCGACTATAGGGAGTCCAGCGACATAGCCATTACACCAACTGCTGGTAATAATTCTTAAAAAAAGAAGAAAAAGTTTCAGCGTCTCCCCTCAGGAGAAAGTTTATCTTCCTCGGGGAACCTTGCAGGCCCCTTATGAGCTTTCCAGCCTTTTTTCTTTTCTTTGTCTTAAGAGAGATTTTTTTAAAAAAAGAATTATTTTATTTAACTTTATTTATTTATTTCTTAAATTTGGTCAGAGAGGGACAGAGTGAGAGAGAAAGAGAGGGAGGGAAAGTGAGAAAGTAAGCCACCAGGTCTGGGACTCAAACCATGGTTGGCCTTGTGGGAGTCCAACTCCCTTAACTGCCGTGCCACCTACTGGTCCCGTTTTTTTAGAGAGATTTTTGCTATAGGGCACATACACTCACCATAGAGACAGAGAGACAGAGAGACAAAAATCTTCCCCAAGGAGGATAACCATGCCATATTCCCTTCTCCGTTCTCCGTTGGGATTTTGGGCACACATTCACACACACCCACTGTGAATTTCAAGCCTCCAGTCAGGGACCTGAACTGCGGGCGACTACGTGGGAGTCCAGCGATGTAACCATTAAGCCATCTGCTGATCCCTCAGCCTTTTTTGTTGGTGAGCTCCATTCCTTTGGAGAGGTTTATTTGCTATAGGGCGCGTGCGCTTGCCAGACAGACAGAGAGAGACACAGAGAGAGAAATCACCCCCCAGGGGGGATGGTCACGCTGCAATCCCTTCTCCTCCATTCTCCTCTGGGATCTTCAGCCACCGGGTCTGGGACGTGAACCGCGGTCAACTACGTGGGAGTCCAGCGACATAGCCATTATGCTAACTGCTGGTTCCCATGATTTTTTTTTAAGAGAGATTTTTGCTATGGGGCACATGCGCTTGCCAGAGAGACAGAGACAGACAGACAGAAAGCGAGAAATCACCTCCTGGTGGGGGGTGGGGGGATGGCCATGTCACAATTCCTTCTCCATTCTCCTCTCAGGATTCTGGGCATGCATACACATGCTCCCAAGGTGAGTTTTAAACCACCGGGTCCATGACTCGAGCCGCAGTCAACTACGTGGGAGTCCAGTGACTTAAACATTATGCCAGTCTCTGGTCCCTCTCCATGAAATTGCTGGGAACACACGGTCCTGGGAACACACCAGTTGTTTCACACTTCCCTGTTCTCGCTTCTGCCTCTATTAGGAAGGCTCTGTGTCAGCCAGAATCCAATCAGAAGACGAGCCACACAGTAGCTGCATAAGGAAAGTTAAAACTTTTTAAAAAGTTTTGTTTGTTTGGTTGGTTGGTTGGTTTTGCTATAGGACATGTGTGTACACCAGAGAGAGAAAGAGAGAGAGAAACCACTCCCTGAGTGGGGAGAGCCACACTGCAATCCCTTCTCCTCCACTCTGCTCTCGGGATTACGGGCGCACATGCACATGACTCTCAAGCTGCCAGTCCAGGACTCCAACAGCCAGGGTGGACGTGAGGAATCCAGTGCCTTAACCCGCACGCCGCCTGCTGGCCCCAAAGCTTTTGTTTTCCTTTTATTGCAAGAGAGTGTGTGCACTTCCAAGAAAGAGAAAGAAATAGAGAGAAAGCATGGGAAAGGGAGAAAGCATCCGCCAGTAGAGGATGCATGCCACAATCCCGTCTTGTCCATTTTCCCTTCCTTCTGGATGCTGAGCGCACATGCACATGTGCCTAGTATGTTTTTCAAGTCACCAGGGCCAGGATTCAAACTGTGGTTGACCATGTGGAATCCTGCTCTCTTAAACACTAGGCCGTGGAGCCAGCCCACTATAAAAATTTATTATTATTACTTTTTTAGAATTTTGAAATGTAACATGGGACCAAAGCAAAGAGGGACTGGCTAGTAAGAAGGAAACACAGGCCCAGCCATGGTGGCACAGGTAGCAGTGCACTGCCACGCAATGCAGGAGCCTGTCTGGACACCCCGGGGTTTTGATGCCAGGTTAACCTGCGTGTGCAGAGAGCGATGGTCCAACCTCAGTGGCACAGGCAGCAGTGCACGAAATTGCAGGACTGGAAGCCATATGGCCAACCCCAGGTTCAGATCCCAAGTCAACCTGAAAACACACCAGGTGCATGTGCACCTAAGACCCTGATGAGATGGAGGGCTGAGAGAAGGGATCGTGGTGTGGTAAGACCCTGTCGAGGTGCCTGTCTCTCTCCTACATACGCACATGCTCTCTCTCATAAATAAAAGAAAGAAACTTAAAAGGAAAAAAGAGAATAGTGACTTCTCTGGTTGCAAGGCTAGGAATGATGAGAGGGCGCTGCGAGCCTGAAGGCAGTGAGGTTAGGAGGAGGGGCAAGAAGCTGTCCAAAAAGCAGATGTGTTCTCCCTCATCTGGAAATGGAAAACCATGGCCTCAAAGAGGTGGGAGGATGAAGAATGAGCTAGAGGCTGGGAAGGATGGCTTTCCTTTATTAAAGGAAACAAAGTTGCAGGTAGGAGGAACAGTGTCTAGCATTAGGAGCTACAGTGAGGAGAATACAGATGGCAACTTGTCTATTGCTACTTATCTCAGTAACAAAAAGGGTTTTGAATGTTCCTGACACAGGTAGCAAGACAATTTTTTGAAAAGAATTATTTATTTATTCGTTCATTCATTTTATTTTTTTAAAAAATTTAAATTATTTTATTTCACTTTATTTATTTGTGTGTTAATTTGATTAGAGAGAGAGTACGAGCAAGCCACCAGCTCTGGGACTCAAACCATGGTCAACCATGTGGAAGTATCCAGTGCCTTAACCACCAACCACCTGCTGGTCCCAAGTAATAAGTAATGTTGAGGAACAGCAGGTGTCATGGTTAAGGTACTGAACTCCCACATGGTCGACTATAGTTCGAGTCTTGGACCTGGTGGCTTGCTTTCTCACTTTCCCTTTCTCTCTGTCTAATAACCTTGAATGACTCATTACATACTGTGTCCTTGTGCTATAAAACCACATTGTATCTCACCAGCATGTACAAGTATTATATGATTTTTTGGTTCTGTTTTTAGAGAGAGATTTTTCCTAGAGGGTATGTGAGCTTGTCAGAGACATAGAAAGTGAGAAATCACCTCCAGGGAGGATGACCACACAGCAGTACCTTCTCCATTCTCCTTTGGGGATTTTGGGCATGCATGCACATGCGCCCGGCGTGAGTTTGAAGTTGCCAGGTCTGGGACTCAAACTGCGGCTGACTACTTGCGAGTCCAGCAATGTAACCATTACACCGTCTTCTGGTCCCTATTAATAAAAATAAAAATAAAAGTGGTGTCAACAAACGAAAATGACGGCATTGGTGATAGAGAAAAGGGGTGGAACTGCAAGATCCAAGGATTTGGTGACCGGTGGATTCTAGGATGACTGCCCCAGGGTCGGGCATGAGTCACAGGTGGAGGTGGTGCATTCCCTGAGGAGAGAACACAGCAGGCGGTTGGCAGGTGGCGAGCTGCGGAGCAAGGAAGGTCCTTGACGTGCAGCACAGAGCTGGGTGGAGAGTGGAGCACACAGAGATGTCCAGGACTTTAGTCATGGTGAGGGCGCTGGAGACCACAAGGGTGCCGGAGGTCACAAGGATAGGCTTCCTCCACGGAAGGCTCTGTAGCTCCTTCCCTGCTGGTAGCACCAGGTCCCGAGTGCTGGGGGCTGGAGAGCTGGCGTGTTAAGCTTGAGCTTCCCGAGGATCTGCAGGGAGCAGTATTGGAGCTACAGGCTTGGAGCTCAGGAGAAAGTTCTAGGCTGGAGTAAAGTGCGCGATGGTCCGCATGGAGGCGGGCAGTGAAACCATCAGAGTAGACATTGCTCAGGAAGAGTGGAGTAAGGAGAGAAAAGAGGCCAGAGCCCTGAGGGACTTGGAAGAGGCAGAGAGAGGAACACAAGAGTAGCCTGAGAGCGAGAAACTGGAGGAGTGGCAGGAAATCAAGTTCTGGGATCCAGGGAAGGAAGTCAAGTTTCAAGGAAGGTTAACATGGTGGAGTGTTTCCAAGAGTTTGAAGGGCTAGAGGGTGAGAAACGGCCTTTGGGGAGGGCACTGGCGACCTTGGCGAGAGCTGTTTTAGTGGAGGCCAGGTGGAAGCAGACGTATATATACATATATGTGTGTGTGTGTGTATATATATATATATACACACACACACACATTTTTGAAAAGTTCACAGAAAAACCTGTATGATGAAAACTATGGACTTGAAAATGTCCCCAAACAAACTTGTACTTTAAGTTCATTTCCCACGAGCTTTTAAAAGTCCCTTCGTGAGTGTGTGTATGTCACAGTATTGTTATTATTATTTTTAATGAAAGGATATATTTGAGCAAGTAAAAATACAAAGGGAAAAAAGGTGATTTTCGATGGAAAAGGGTTGAGAAGTGGAGAGGGTCATGGATAACGGAGACGGAGCCCTGCAATGGCACCCTCAGTGCAAACGGAAGAATTCCTCTGGCTGCTGAAAGGACACTCATATTCATACCACCTAGAATAATACCGATACTCTCCAGAATAGGGCGACGTGCTTAGGGAGCCACGCACCACAAGGAGCGTCTTCATGTTAGCATCTAACATCCTCCTAGATAGTCTGGCAGACTTACATGTCAGAAACTTTTTCAGTATTTTTTTGGGGGGGCCATAGCCTTCACTAGATTCTCAAAGGACTCCCCAGCTCCAAAGCACATTGAGATGTGCTCGTGAGTGAGGGGACAGCAAGGGCGCCAGTGTTCAGCGTGTCTGGAACCGGACAGCGAACCCAGTCGAGTGAGCGCACATGCATTGTTCCTCCTTGGTCCAGAGGCGGCACAGCCCTCAGAGAGCTCTTCCAGAGCCTCACTGCAGCCTTGGTGAGGGGGGTACTTATGCCAAACCAGGCAGGGACTTAGGGAGGTTGCGAGAAATTTCTGTCTATGGCATCAAACGCCTGAGTGATCCCAGCCTCCAGCCTCCACTGTCGTGCTTTGCATCCCACCCGCCCCACCACCTGGCCCTGGCTGCAGCTGCTGTCTGCATGAAACAGCTTTCAAATCCATCCGGCCCAGACCTCCCTTCCCAGGTCCAGACCAGCCCCCACTGCCTCCTGGCAGCCACGCGGTGCTTGTCCCCCAGTTCCTCAGGCCTAGCACCCTTTCCACATAGAGGGCCCCATCGTCCTGCCTATGAGGAAAATCACGCAGGTCTCCCCAGTACAAATGTTTCGGACCTGGGAAACTAAGTTGCAAGGGATGAGCAGGAAAGCATTTTGGACGTGACTTGGGGACAATGTGAGAGGCCCGGCAGCACTAACCTCTCCTCTCTCGAGGCAGGTGCGCCCCTCAGCTTCGACCTTTTCCCTACTGCTTGCCAATTGAGCCAAGTAACTATGAATGTAATTGCTTTGTATTGTCTGTCTCTCCTGGTTTGTTTCTTAAGGCAGGGACCGTGTCCCCTTCACATCTGTATTCTCGGTGTCTACCCACTGTATCACATATAAAGGGTATTTACTAAATATCTGTTGAATGAATCAATGAATATCCTTGTTCAGCCCCCAACATGCAGGTCCCCCGGGGGTCCTTAGTCCTTTCCAGCCCTCTCCTACCCACGAAGCTCAGGGCTTCATTCCACCACCCCGCATCCCACGCACCCTCCCCCCCACACGCAGCCTTTGTTCAGAGGTGCCCTTGCCCTGAGCTGCTCTGTGGAACACAGTGAGCTCCCTACGTAGAACCATCTGGAAGCAGAGGCAGTGTACACATCTGTCTGGGTGCCTTCAAGACAGTTGCCGGGATGGTAGGACATCAGTGACAGTGAGGTGGGGTCATGTGTCCCTCTGTCTGCACTAGGCAGGGATCTCAAGGAGGCCAGCGGTCACAAGCACAGGGCTTTCTCCACAGAAGGCTCTGTAGTTTCTTTCCCTGACGCTGCCTCAGATCCCGAGTGTGGGGGACCATGCAAGGACTGGTGAGCTGGCCTGCGGGGATGAATGAATGCACCTTTGCCCCCCACAGCGCCTGAGCTAGTGCCTCCTCCCCCAGAGATGCTGGGTGGGGGCAGGCCCCCCGTGGGTCCGACTGCAGCGCCTGAGCTAGTGCCTCCTCCCCCAGAGCTGCTGGGTGGGGGCAGGCCCCCCGTGGATCTGACTCTGAGTCAGCCTAAACGTGAGTGGGACTGGAGTGGGCATGATCTCTATCCAGCCTCTCCACGCAACCCCCGCTGCCCAGGAAAGGATCTGACAAGCCAAAGAAGTAAATAAATAACTTAGAAATAATAAATAGGGGTCCAGCTCCCACGAGTGAGTCCAATGCCAGCTGTGCACAGGCGCTTTCAGCCGGGCAACTGCGAAGCACCTCCTCCAAATTCTGTCCTTGCTGGCCCGGCTGGGGCCACAGGCACTGCGGGGTCCGCCGCCCAGCCGGTTTCAGGTCACGGCCCGACCCGTGCCAGAGTTGGTGAGAAGTGAGTCCCGAGGTCGCCACAGCTGAGGTCTCTGGTGTCTACAGGGCTGGGATCTACAGGGGAGGGGCCTGGGGTCGCTGGACAGTCATTTCTCCAGAGTTGATGCCCAACAGTCGCCAGGGTGAGGCCAGCCGGGCGCAAGAGGGCGCTGCAAGAGGGTCCCAGGCAGGGAGGTCCGCGCTGAGGGTGCCATCCGGGGGAGAGCTCAGCCCCGGCAGCCGCAGGCAGTG